GTGATGGGTTTTATTGAGAGGGAGACAGTTGAAGAGTAGCCAGGATCTAGTTTCCTTCACTGACCTGAGCCTCCGTCATCAAGGACTCCATAAAGAGGGCGCTGTACCTTGACGCATGCATGAAGCTGGAACTCGTGGTGTCGCTGAATGTCTGTCTAGCCAAGCTTTGCTCAGAATGCTCACAAAGGTGGCCGCGGGTCCCCATGGTGATGGACAGCTAGCTCAGTGTCATCAGGAAGCTAGCTGCTAGTCCCCGCGTGCTGGGCTGCTCAGTATAGTCCGGCGGGTAGTGGTGTCCTCAAGCTCAGAGCAACTTCCTGTGGTCCACCCTCCCCACCTGCTCTGAACTCTGGGAGACTGACGTCTCTGAGGCTATGAACAGATTCCCTCAGTCTCGAGTTTCCAGGATTCCACTAGCAGGGAGGTCAACAGAGTGGGTAACGTCATAGTGGCAGAGTTTAATCAGCCTCCGGTGCCGGAACACCCCAGCTCTCGAGTCCCCTGATTGCAGCTCCTGAGGGAGGTGTGCTTCTTCAGGCCTACCTTTTCCCTCCAGGGCTTGGGGGTATTGTGAGTCCTAAGGGGCTGTGCTTTCTCTTGAAGTGTCTCTGTGTCCTGCGCACTTTCCTAAGTAAACCCGCTATTGATCTCACCTCAGATTTGCAATCCGGGTTTGCCATTCATTTCCAGCGGGAGCTTTGTCTGAAAATCTGCCTTCTTGTTGGGGGGGTCGGGATGTTCTGCCCACTGTATGGGAACTGGTGTGCCAGACCCACAGGTTCAAGTGGTGTCCATGAGGGTTGTGGGTAGACAGCTATCCTCAAAGGCCTCAAGAACTCCGGCTCCAAACAAAGTCTGGGAAGTGGTGCATTTGAAAGCACCGATGTAGCAGTTCTCCGAGTCCAGGAATGTGCTGCAAGCTCCCGCAGACGTTGCAAAGACACCTACTCCTACTAGATCTTAAACTGCAGGAGACAGAACTTTTAGCTGTGCTTTGGAACCAGGGAACATGCAGACAATGACAGACAGTAACAATGCATCATTAAGGGCTTGAACTGCAGGGTTGGGGAGTTCTAGGTTCAAGCCCTAACTCAGCCACTGTGCTGGCTGGTTTTATGTCAACCGAGCTGGAAAGGAGGAAGCCTCAGTTGAGCAAATGCCTTCATAAATCGGGCTGTAGGTAGTGATTAATGCAGGTGGGCCCGCCCATTGTGGGTGGTACCATCCCTGGGCTGATGATCCTGAGTTCTATCAGAAGCAGGCAGAGCAAGCCAGTAAGTAGCGCCCTTCTTTGACCTCTGCGTTGGCTCCTGCCTCCAGGTTCCTGCCCTGTTTGCGTTCCTGTCCTGACTCCCTTTACTAGTGGACAGGGATGCTGAAGTGTAAGCCAAATAAACTCTTTCCTCCCCAAGTTGCCTCGGTCATGGTATTTCATCACAGCGATAGTAGCCCTAGCTAGGATAGTCACCTTGAACAAGCTGCTTCCCCGCCCTCGGGCTTAGTTCTCTAGTAAAATGATTTGTGTGTGTGTGTGGGGGGGGGGATCATCTCTCTTCTAGTGTATTATAAACCCGTATAATGTAGGGTGTCTAAAACAGTGTGAGATAATTATCAATACTGGAGCACAAACAGGATTAGTGGTTACCATACAGATTCGCTATCAAAATTATAGGCACAGTCATAGTTACGTGATTGTGTTTTCAAAAGCGAGTCCTTATCTCTTTGAGATACATACTTATCCACGTGTGGACTTGCTGCAGAATTACCAACGGGAAGGGAGGTAGTGGCGAGGGATATAATCGCGGGTCAGTAATTATTAAAGACGGAGACTCGTTGCATGGGAATTTGTTTTCAATATTCTCTTTCTATGTTCTGATTCTTCATGAAACAGAGTTTGAAGTTCCTATGCTGGGAAGCATCTGTTGGGCACTGAGGCCACAGTAGACGCCTCTCAAGTCACCTTGCTTGTCGAGAAGCTAATGGGCTCATATAGCTTGCCTGTGTGATGGTCACTGTATCCCCTTGATGAATGTGAAGCCTCCCCTTTCCTGATGGACAGCACACGGAGCCACCTGCTGTCTAGAGGTGGCACGTTCTGCTGCCACGTTGGGAGCATGCTCTACTTGACAGTTCCGAGACTATCGGCACTTTCTCAGCTCATGTCGCTTACGGAGATATTCACTGGACAGCATGCTTTGCTTCAGGTTAGGTTTGGGGGCCTCTGAAGACATTTCACGCCTTTGGGAGGTATTAGGGGTGGAAGAAAACGTATTTGGTGGAGAAGCAGGGATGGCCTTGTCTCGTTTCCCACAAGCCAAGCTGCTTTGGCACTGTGTGAAGCTCCTCTGGGCCCCGGTTTCTGAGTGTATGAGGTGAGAGGATTTGACGAGTTTCTGTGATCCTTCCTAACGCCAGCATAAAATTTTAATAGGTTTCTGAATAAACACATTCACTTTCACTGGAGAAAACCAGGGAAGTGTAGAAAAAGGCAGAGATGATGTGAAAATCACCGTGTTCTGCTCCCAACAAGCCTAGCTGTCTTTAAACATCTGCCAGGGTTATTTTCTAGAGCCAAAGCCATGCACACTTTGTTGGTCATTTCATTCGTAGGTTATGTCAGTGAAGACATGACAGGTGAATAGGCCCGGCCCCTGCCCTCCATTGCTGTCCCTCTAATAGCTTAGATGATGCTCTATATGTAGTGGGAATATTCCACGTGGAAGATGAAGCCTTCCATGTATCAGAAAAATCAGTGTTTTGCTGCCATTTGGGGGTTGCTCTGCTCAGACCTGGAGAACTTTTCTTGAATGCTCTTTCTTATGGCGAGATGCAAAGACACTTTAGGAAGCTGCCTTCGTGACTTTTCTGCTGCTATGATAGAGCACCACAAAGGTAACGGCTGGAAGCCATCATTTATTTGGGCCTATGGTTTCAGAGGGTTCATAGTCCACAATGGTGGAGACAGCATCGCAGCAGGCAGGCGTGATAGCTGGACCAGCTAACTGTGAGCTCACGTTTTGACCCTCAAGTATGAATCAGAAAGAACAAACTCTCAAAGCCCACCCTCAATGAAGTGCCTTTTCTAACAAGGCCATCCCTCCTAAACTATCCCTGACAGAGCCACCAGCAGGAGACCAGGCGTCCAATGCTTCCCTAGACTATGGGAGGTATTTCTCATTCAAACCGCCACTGAAGCTAAGAAGGAAACACACAAAAGCAACTTTCAGGCTTCCAACACTAGCCTGCTCCATCATGGCCAGTTTCTTTGACTGCCTGTCTCAGATACATCAGCAGTGACTTCAGGGACCAAGTTCTCTGTCCTTTTCCCTGCCGTCTTCAAGTCACCTCTGCTGGAGGTATAATAAACAACTGCCTGTGACGCTGGCTCCAGGAGACACAACTCCTCTGGCCTCTGTGGGCATCTGCACACACATGCATGTATCTATCCCCACACAGACACATCATTCAAAAGAAAATGAAGTTTGTGGTTGGGGATGCTGGAGAAGTGGCTCCGGTGGCTGAGAGCTCTTCCAGAAAAAAAAAAAAAAAACCCAAGTTCAATTCCCGGCACCCACGTGACGGCTCACAGCCATCTAGGGCTCCAGTCCCAGGAGATCCAATGCCCCTTTCTGGCCTCTATGGGCACCAGGCATGAGAGGCACATATCTACATATAGGTAAAGCAGCCATACTCATAAAATAAGATGAAAAAATTAAAAATAAAATATAACACTTTTAAAGAAAGTGTGAATACAAAGATGGGGAAATATTTGGTCAGTGGTGGTCCCTGGGAAAGACCATCTTGACTATCATAGTTGTTGGTGACACACTGGTAATGGACTGTCTCTATGCTGCGCAGGGAACGACACACCATAGTGGCAATAGATGTCACTGAGGGCAGCATCAGCTTGCCCAGGGTGACAGAACAGCCCCCCAGGTGAGCAATACTAAGGCTCTGAACTCTATGCAGGGTCATCTTTTAATGTATCTTTAAAAATATTTTAAATTACTTTGTGTGTGTGTGTACGTGTGTGTGCATGTGTGCGTGTGTGTGTGTGTGTGTGTACATACGCGCATGTGTCAGAGGACAAGTTTCAGGAGTTGCTTCTTTCCCATCTTGCGGGTGCAGGGGAGCTCGGTCTCAGGCCATCAGCCTTGGTTGTGAGGCATATCACCAACTCTTAATAAATGTTTTTAAGGCATTTGAGGAGATATAGTTCTTAAAATATTTGACAAGTGACCAGAAGAACAATGCTACATGTGGCAGGGGATATGATTTTTCTTAGTTCTCAGACTAAGGCAATAAAACCTATTTAGTTCCTGAACGATGGAATTCTAAGTAAAGGAAGCCTTCCACTGTTACTATTGCTTTTCCATTGCAAAAAGACCCTAAGTCCAGATGGAAACAATAGAAAATGAAAAGCCCAGCTCTAGCCGTTCTCCATCCTCAGCATCACCACCTGCTGCCCTTGTACTTTTTAAATTGTCATGGCCGTTCTCCATATTTGCCAGCAGGTGGCGACTGTGTCGTCTGGGCATTGGTTGTTTCCAATTCTGTATTTACTCTTGAAACCACACCCACCACGTGCCGTCGGTTTAGGAAAAGCTAGGAAATAGGGAGGCCAGCGCTCACAGAAAGCCACCATCTGGAGACAATCACGACTGTGAGACAATCTGCTTCTGTTGCACGCTGGCCGGAACCCGGTCCACAGTTCACAGGTCATTTTCAACAGTTCTTGGCAACCTAGGACGATCACAGAGCAGCCGAGGGGAGGACCAGTGGTGAAGCGGATCCCAGTGCAGGGGCAAACACACAAATGAACAGAGATCCTTGGCCTGCGCTGCAAAAGGTAGCTGGGAGACCCAGTTCCTGCTCAGACAGCACCCCACAAGAAGGCTGCCCCGAACTGGCACTTTTAATTTGTTTTCATTATGCATACAGATTGCTTGCTGAAAGTAGACACTTGATACTTTGGTATATATAAATCTCATAACCTTTCCCCATTAGTAACAAGTTATGAAATATGTCTCCATATCAAGGTACCCCTACACTGTAGTGATCACTTCGTATTCCTTTGTAGGATAGTATGCCCATGTGGTTTTTACAACTTCGACTATAATGAGCATCATGATAAAGACCGTCTTTGCACAGGCTTTTGTGTATATTTGTTTTGATAGCACACATTCCTGGAAGTGGGACTTGTAGGACCATATAGTGTACTAGTTTCTAAAAGTATCTGAAACGGGAGTCCGGATTACTTTGTGAAAGAATGTTGCAATCTCCCCTCCCACCAGCATCTGCTGTCTTAAATGCTCTCCCACACTGGAAAGAATTCAGTAAGCATTGCACTGTCAATAGGTTTTAAAAGGGGGGGGAGGGGGAGCTTGTGTTAATCTCACTGATGAAGTTAGTGGGTTGTTTTGGGGTTTGGTTTTATTTTTTTTAAATATGGTTGTTGCCGCTTTGTGCTCACCCTTTAATTGCCTCTTCAAACACAGCGGTGTAGGCAAATTTATCTCCGTATGCCTTTTCTCTCATCAGCTGCCAGGCGCCCTCACGTCACGTATTTTTCAGTTGGGGAACTGCAAACCCCACTCAAAGCAGTTCAGACCGTCCCATTTCCTACTGAAGCGCCAGCCCATGAACGGGGCAGTGGTGGCACCTGTCACTCCCAGTGTCCTCTGTCGGAAGGAGTGAGCACTCCTGCTGTCAGACGATTTTGAGATGGTGATTGGGAGCCTTGGGTCCTCCGCTGCTGACTCTGCCACAGCGATGTTCATATAAAATAATATGAAATAAGACTTTTGAAAATCTTGAATTAATTTGATGGATGTAGACAGCCAACGAGATAATTGAACTACCAGAGGGGCCCTTTCTCCGTAGAATCGTCTAGTTTTCTTGTCTAGAGCTGATTAGATTAACAAGGAAATCGCTCTGTCTCCAGTTTCTGGGCTGATGTGTTTTGAGGAAGTCACAGAGGGAGTTCTTTCCTCCTCCCTCCACCTCATCCGTGGTTCAGAAATCAAGTATGAATCCTGACCAGGAGAGCAGTTCCCAGGGATTTTCCTCAGTTGCTCAGATATCTAAAAGGAGGACAAACTTCCAGGGAGGGTGACCCTCAGTCTCACGTCAGCCTGTTGAGGCTAAATCTCCAAGTGAGATCTCTGTTTGGTGTTGGGGCCTGAAACAGAAATACACAAAAGGGTAAAAATACACTCACACTAAACCACCAAGGATGTCCACTGGCCATTTCTTAGAGGATGGTTAGTCTTCAAAGGGAGGTGAAGTAAGAGCCACCGAGAAGAAAAACCTGGACAGGAGACACCGAGGGATGGAGGCACAACGGTTTGGTCTGAACCTGCGTGAGGACGGCTTCTACGGGCCTTCTTTATGGTGCCGTTGACCTTGGTAATGGAGTGCTTTGTAGAAATGGGGATTTTAACGACGCCTTCTGATGTGTGTTCTGCTCAGGGGAGCCTTTCTCTCACCCCCTGACTTTCTGGCCACATTGACAGGGTGACAGAAGTGTTTAGGGAAAGGCCGGGCTCCTCCCGGCTTCTCTCCTCCTTAGCCCCACCCTGTGCCTCTCAGATGCCTCCACCCACTCTTAAGAGCCTTTGCCTTTCACTCTCCTGGTCTTCTGTGTCCCACCCTGGCTGTGGTCCTCCAGGCATCCTCGCTCCCTCACGGAAAACCTGGATTTCTGTGACTGCCTTCTCAAAGGGTTCCCAGATGCCTGCCTTCAAACAGAAACAGCTTCTGAATGTGCTCTCTCTCTGTAAGTTGACAATAAGTTACCAGTTTTGGATACTTTGTATACTTTGTATCTTTGGATACTTTGTATCTCTGCAAAGAGCGTGTGTTAATCCCTATTGTTTAGCCACCGTTTTGGGGGGTGTCCAACCACAGCCCAAGTGTCACTTTCAGAGAAAGGACTTAGCACCTGAGCTCCAGGTGGGGGGGCATTTCTTCTTCATATCAAAACACTTAGACACCCCCAGGTCCTAGTGAAGTTGTCTTGACCTTTTGAATCTGGACACTCAAGGATCATTAGAATAGTTATTAAACCATCTGACTACCACTGGGACATGAGATTTTTTTCTTTTCCTTTTATGTTTTTATTTATTTTTCTGATTTCAGAAGACCCATGTATTTGCTATATAAAATTCCACTCTATAGGAATGCTAGACATGAAGGAAGTACATGATTTAGCAAGTCCCTCTCTGGGTTCTTGTGCAGACCTCTCGCTAACACGTGGGGTGAAGGGACCCTAGCCTGCTCAGGCATGAGGTGCTGGCAGGCCTTGCCCTTCCCTGCGATTCCCTCTGCCTTGATAAAACCATTGGATTAATTACATTCTTAAAGCTGCCCACCCAGGTCCAGTCCCTTATCTGTCCCCTTTCTCCTCCTGAGACTGACGTCCAAGGTTCAGCTATTGAAGTATTGAAGTCCAGCTATCAAAAGCCTCTTTTGACTACCTTAATTAGCATGCCCAATTAAAATTAAACACCTCATTCTAACACGGGGTTTCCCCCTTTCCCTTTATAAACTGCCATTGCCCGTGGGCCATGTCTGTCTCCTCTCTATCCAGAGGCAGTCCTTCCTCTCCTGGGACCAGTAACCCTCATCCCTCTCCTCTGTCCCTTTTCTCCCCTTTCCTATCTCCTCTCCCTCTTCCTCTATCCCCTGTCTTTGTCTCTTATTCCCTGCCCTCTGTCCCTCTGGGGGAAACAAATCTCCCTTGTGCTGAGAACTTGGTCTTGGGGTGTCTTGAGCCAACTTCCAGGGTCCTTAATGGAGCATGAGCGACCATAGCGCCACCTGTTTCCCCAACCCCTCCCACCTGAGGAAAGGAGCCTCACTCTTGGGCTTTGGGTCCTAGCACCTGATGAGATACCCGCCATGTGGTGCACACTCAGTAAATAGCGCAGATAGGAAGTCAGGAGCTCAGAAAGCATTGTCGGGTTCCCCACGCACCAGAATGGAGCCTACTGCGGCCCACAGACGTCTTTTCTGCTCCGTCTCTCCAGAGGGGTGATTTGCGTGCCCTCTCCCCCATCTCCAGGCCCTCATCGGCTCTCACACGGAGGAGAGTCATCCTCTTCTAGATGGCTTGGCTTCCCCTGCTATTAGGATCTGTGCTGCTCCTGCAACAAAGCAATTGTAGGCCAGGGAGTCAGTTCGCTGAGGCTGTCTGCTTGTGCGATTGGTTGCCATGTATGTTTCTAATCTTCCCCTCGGTGTTCCCTAAGTCAGTATCCCTGCCCTTGCTGAGCCAAGCAATCTGGTGAAATCAGAAGAGAAGCCGTGCCCTGATCACAGGTCTGAATCTCACAGCGGTAACAGGAAGGGCTGCCATCCACTGAGTGAGTGCCTACAGCATGTTGGAGGTTTTACACACTGTTTAATCCTCATTAAAACCCTGTGAGGAAAATGTCGTTCTTTTCCAGGGTCCAAATGACTCCCCAGGGTGACCAGCTACAAAACAGTGATGCCTGACTTTGGATCCAGGTCTTTCTAGCTATAAACCATACCCTTCTGTAGCCTTTCCACTTTGCAATAGGGAGATTAGATCTTGTTGGAAAAGCCCTGAATCCCTTCTCTTGCTCACTGAAAGACAGAGTCTGTAAGAAGCCCTCTCATCTTTGCAAACGTTCTTCTCTATGTCTAAAACCATAGCTGCGTGGAGAAGAAAGGGGTCAGGTTCACATGCTTCTGGGAGTAGCCACTGACTCATGACTGCGTGCTCACCGCTCCAGTACAGGGCAAGTCTGCGTTTCACAGTGTGAGTGTAAGGCCCATTGCTTTGGGTTTAGATGGATAGAAAGTGAGACAATTAGAATTCAATGTCTAGGTCTGTTGTAGATCAGATCCAGATCGTAGGGGTAGGCTGGTCTCTGGACCCTGTGAGTACATACTTTAGATTATCCCAGAGACAGGTTTCTCTCTGGAGACCTAGGTTGTCTTGGAGAGTCCTTCCTGATGATATCCACCCCGTTCTGTAGAGCCAAACATTTCTCTTGTTTCTGCTGATTTATAGAAAAGGAGATGGTGTCAACATCACTCAAAAGTTTTGAGGAAGTTCTTCCGGTGTTATACTGTGTGTCAAATTCCCAGTGGAGAGTGGAGATGTAAGATGTTACTCTGCCTTCAGTAAGATGCGCTAAAATGCAGCAGACCTCTCTCTGTCTCCCTCCCTGTCTCCCCGTCTCACTCCCCCCAGTCTCTCTCTCTCTCTCTCTCTCTCTCTCTCTCTCTCTCTCTCTCTCTCTCTCTCTCTCTCTCTGGCAGACATTCACCTTGTGAACCACCAAAAATGTGTTTGAAAGAGAATCAATTCTCATTGTTCTTCATTTAAAGTCAAATAAACCTTGTTTCTGCAGAGGGCCCGGCCCTCCTCCCTAACTTTAAGAAGCACCATTCCTTGGACTCTGGAGAGCTTTGCTCTTTCAGTTTGATGCTGTCAGAGGTGGAGAGTGCTCTTGGCTCCCCGGGACCCTCATCTCCACCAGTTCCTGCGGCCATATTCCCCTTTTCCTGTCCGAGGTGGCTCTGGGAGGCAGCTCATTTCTGTCACTGCATGGAGACAGTCACAACTCTAGCTACTCATTAGGCTTCTTGTCTGGACACGCCATCCTCCCAGTCTTTGTTTCTTCGTTTGGGGAGCCTTCACCATGGTAACCACTTCAGCTGGTCTCCTCCATCCCCAGGTGGTCTCCGGCTTTGCCCACACAAAGCCACACTGAGCATGCAGCCTGGTTCTGAGGTTCACTCTTTGCATCTTTGTTGCTTTTGTGGTTCATGGCCCGATCCCAAGATACTTTTTTTTTTTCTGCAGAGGGGTGTTTCCCCCTCTACACAGGGACCAGGGAGTCACCTCTCACTCCGTTCAGCGTGAAACATATTGACTTCTCATCCCCACAGTTACGCCTTGCCGTTTCTACAGCCATCCTGAGATCAGGTCTACCCCTGACTTTGGTTCATTTGCTTCTGATTAGCGCTTGGGTCCTCGCCCTAGCTGGCTAGGCGTGGGTGTAAATTGAGAGGGAAGCACCCTCCTAGGCTGTGCCGGTGCCCCACACATTGTTGCTGGTGGCTGAAGTTTGGCAGTCCCCCTCTGCTTCTCCTAGCTCCTGATTTAGCAGAGTGCAGTATTTATGCCATGTGCTTCTCAGTTGAGCCAAGAGTCTTCAATCAGCCTTGTGACTTAAGTTGCCAAGGAAACGGCGCCTAGTGGGACCTGAAGATTTACAACCTTTTCCCCGGCTGCAAGGATTCCTCCGGAATTCTTGCTGACACAGTTTACTCCCATAAACACTCGACCCTGTGGGGGATATAAATCTCTGCTTGTCTCTGCACAGTTCATTCTCTGCAAATACAAGGTCTAGAGCAGGAGCCGGGTTGGGGGTGGGAGAAAGAGAACACGGCCGCAGAGGGTTCACGAGCTCCTGGACATGGGATGCTCTGTTTTGTGATGTATGGCCATCTTTGCACCGGGAAGTCTCCGAGCAGGGACAAACTGCATGAGCGCTCCAAGCCTCTGGAAAAGCAAGTGATCTTTCCCCATTCGTTCCCACAACGACAAGATGAGAGGAGGCATAGCAACTGCCTTAGAGGATGGACACAGGCATTCCCACGTTAGCTACCACGATTTGTCCGAATCTACGAGCCTCCAAGGGTTGTGATGATGCGCATTGCCCTTCATTCCTTAGAACGGGGAGACACAGAGTAACTTTCAATATTTTATGGCCTTTTATGCAGTACCTAGAATACTCATTGAGCTAATGGGTGAGTCGGGTTTTCGTTGCTGTGATAAAAACACCCGAGCGTGGTGCCGGGGAAAAGGTTCAGTCTGTATAGTGTGATGTGCAAGCTGAGTTCAGATCCCCAGAGATCCCGTAAAAAGCCAGGCACGGCTGCATGCCAACTCCACTGGGGGAGGGGTTGAGACAGGCAGCCAGCTTAGCCAAACTCATGAGCTTCAGGGTCTTTGAAAGGGCCTGTCTCAAAAAAGTAAGATGAAATTGAAGAGTTGTGGAGAGCAAGTAAGGAAAGATACCCAGTGTCTGTCTTTGGCCTCCATGTATGCATGCACATCCATGAACCCATGTGAACCCATATATACACATGCACATACACACTCCCAAGTGCATATGACATACATGAACATGCACACAAATCTGAGTCATATCAACTTAAGGACACCCAAGACTCCAGCACCTAGAGGGTGGTCATGGGGCTCTGGCTTTGGTGACCCTCTTCCTTTCCTCTGCTCTTCCTCTCCGTTCCTTTAGAATGTGTTTCTTCGCAGAGCTCGTCCCTCTGGGGTCCCTTTCCCACCCATTTGCCCTGTAGCTGTCCTCTAAACTCACCCTGAGGTTCTGTGTGGATTCTTGTTTGAGGAGCCTTCTGTTGAACCCAGCCCAGACTACAGAACCGCAAAGATGTGTGTGGATTAGAGAGGAGAGCCTCGCCAAGTGATGCCTCATTGCTTTGGATAGGAATCAAACCACTGAAGTCAGCTGTCCATCCTGCAAGAGCCACATCTTCACGAATCTGTCACAATCTGAACCGGAGACGAGCTGTAAAGGGAACCCACGGGACAGAGACTAGAATTGAGTAGTAATGAGGTTTCGGTTTTAACCCATCTTTTCTTAATTTAGAAAAGGTGTTCCATGTATAAGGATACTGCCAGTGGTCTTCACAGTATTTAAGCCTTTTAGCCAAGAAATTCTACCTGCAATAGTCTATTCTAAGAAAATAATTATGGATATGTGCAGTCTTTTGTGTATTAAAAATCTTCACCCCTTGTTAAAAGACTTAAATGGGAAAGTCATATAGACAGCAGAATGTTGATTCAATGAATTATATAATACATCCCCGTAGACCTAAGAATGGTAAATGGTGTCATAGAAGAGTAGATCTAATGATGTGAGAAACTGTTTATAGTCTATTTTATTTCTTAATATAAATATTACACAGTGGCTAAAGTAGATAAGGATGAATGGTTTTCACCTAGCAAGACTGATTCAGTTACATCAAGACCAGTGAATGTCTCAGCTGTTCCCACGATCACTCTAAGACTTACACACTATGGCTGAAGAGAGTTGATGCAGCTTCAGACATCTGGTCAACCCCAGGACACAGAGGGGATAGGGCGGCAAGGGCTGCGTTGCTTCTGTTCTAGCCTGTTGGCCAAAAGAATGTCACGTGGCAGCTCTGTTTGCAAAGGATACTTTTATAATTAACTGCTGGACTTTTCAAATGAGCAGAGGAAATGAGGACCGGCTGTGATTGTTGAATTAAGGCATGAGAGAGATCTTGGGAACATGGGACGGGAATAGGGGGCCCTCATAACAAGAATCCAGTTGGAGCCTCTGCCAGCAAAGGTGCAAGAATTGAGGACAACTGACAACTGCTCAAGGCCTTTCTTTCTGCCCTAGTGTAAGGCTGTCATTGTCTAGGAAACACATCTGGAACCCCATTCGTGGGGAAAGGGCATGGCCGTTTTAAACTCCTTTTGTAGCCCTGATGGTTTCTGTTTTTTTTTTTTTTTTTTTTTTTGTATCAGATTATAATCCATCCAAGGCCACTTCCTTCTTCCACCTCATGCTTGGTGTTCCCTGGCAGGTGCTAAATGTTCTTCCCACTTCAGCTACTAACGCCTGAGGTCGTACATATTCGTGGAAGGGCCAGCCAGTCACTTATTAATCAGTTATTGATCTCCAGGGCTACCTCATTCATCTCACTTATCAAAAGAGAAAAAGGGAAAAAATGGAAGGATTTCTTAGCAACCTTTTGAGATGTAACTCGAGAGTCTCCAGAGTGTTCTATTTGGCTGGTGCTAAGTACAGTTAATCCCCACTCTCTAGAAGAGCCTGTGCCTGGGCTTGGCTATGTCTCATTCTCTGACTTCCTCTTAGAGAAGCCCACATCCATGCCCTTGGGTGTGTTTTCCCTCCTTCTGAACCCGGCTCTTTCGCCTCAACACTCCCATTCCAGCCTTCCTCCTTAATGCGTTTAAAAAAATCTCCAATGCTGTTTCAAGCGGGTGAGGCCTAAAATGCTTTCTCTGTTGAAGCAATGAATTCCACTTTGGCCTGAGTCGAGGTCCCTAAAATATTAGGCGGCACCTCCTCCAGTACCAAAGGTGACAGTGTGGAGCTGAGACTCTGTCCCTCCACTGCCCAGGGGACCAGCCAAACCCTAGGGTCTGTACCCAGTGTTCAGTAGCTCGCAGAGAGACATTAGGGGCACGGCTCTGTTTAGTGCCTGTCAGGGACACCGACACAAAGGGTAGGACGTCAGGATGCAACAGCCAGAGAACATGAAGATCCACGTTCAACTTGACAGTGTCCCCAGTGAAATCGGGGCTATTTTAAGAAGTAGGTGAATTTTTTGGAATTAGAAAGGAATACTCCAGAATTTTTATTTCGTAATGATTTCATTTTCTTTTTTAATATCTTTAATGCCTCATACAGTTCAAGTTCAAATGCTTCTCTCTCTCTCCATCAGCCACTTTGGAAGTCCCGAAGCCCTGGGAAATGGGGTCATGCTAGATTTCTTTTCTCCTCAATTTTAAAAGATATCTTTTTTTTTGTAATGAGCATAGATCAATTTTATATAAAACTGTGAGAGCTCATTAAAGTTTATATCAAGGCACACAGAAAGCTATTTAGAGGTTTTAAAATTCTGTTCACCTCTTCAATAGGAACACAAGCAGAGCTCAGAGGAGAGGGGCAGGGAACTCACTCCAAGCCCCACCTCCGTAGGGGCAGAGCTTGCCAGGCTCTGGTGTCCTGGCACCAGCATCCGTCACTTTGAAAACATGGCAGTGTTTTCTGTGGGGACCCTGTCAAGTTGGACGTGGATCTTCATGTTCTCTGGTTGTCATATCATAACTCCCTCCTCCTCCTTCCACACCATACTGTTGTCCCTGACAGATGCTGAGGGTCGTGTCTCCATTTCAATAATTAACACTGGAGGTCATATATATTTGCGGAACGATCTTTCATTCATTCATTTGTTAATTGGCTATTGAACAAGGATTTATCACCAGCACTCCATTAGGGATGGAAAGATGAACACGATATAGCCCTTGGCTCGCGTAGACAGTCTCAAGAAGCAACTCAACCCAGAGTTTCAACACAGAGACCTTGCCACCATGAAGGCAGGCTTAGTCTGTGAGGGACACTCACCTGGCTTTACGGTGTGTGAGGGACACCTCTATAGAGGGAGAGAGCTGCCAAGGAAGTCGTGCCAAGTTAGAAAGAGGGGTGAGGAAAATGGGGGTGCTTCCCAGGCCAGGGAAGGGAATTTCAGACCTTCTTAAAGCAGGGCTGCGAGCTGCATGTTAGCGTTCTTTTCTGTCTGGTAAAGAGATAGCATTAAATATAATTAGGAAAGCTTAATAGGTTCATACCTACTCCAAACAAAAGCAGTTTGTTTTCCTTTGTACTGTGCTGCCAAACCATTTTTTCCCTCTAGAGCCTTGGACCTTGTAAATGTCATTCTCCTGACACTGAGTTATGTGACAGGGGTGAATTCATACTTTTTTTATAATTTTAATTTTTATTTAATGTTTTTGATATGTTAATTTTCTTTTTTATGTGCACATGTATTTTGAGTGTGTAAGCGTGCCTTCCTCTATTGCTCTCCTTTTTTTTTTTTTTTCTGAGACAGGGTCTCTTATTGAATCTGGATCTATCTAGCCTGCTCCTGGCGGCCCCTTTCTCTGCCTCTCCCGTGCAGTATAGCGCGGGGCTCTCTCTGACATAGGTCCTAGGTCCTAGGTCTTTCACAGTTAATGCTTTAACCACTGAGAGCTCTCCTTCTCCACCAGTCTCCCTTCACCTAAAATTTTGGTTTAAACATATCATCCGGCAGTCATGGTGGTGCAACTTCAAGACTGCAGCTTTTGACGGCCAGAGGAGAGAGAAAGAAAGTCTCACAGCAAATTCCCGGTCCTCTGGCTCTTAAAATCTATCTGCCATCTCTTCCCTCAGTGAGGGAGTTGTTCTGTAGCTGTGACAGTTGGGACCGCACTGCCTAACCCTGAGCTGAGCATGGTCACTGATAGACTCGATGCCTGGAGAGCCCGTAGGTCTTCAACCTTACATAAAGAGCCACAGGCACCTAAGGAATGCGGAGAACAGGAGAAATGGTCTTCCTCAGGGAGGAGGACACCGATTGGTTAGCCAATACCAAATGGTCAGCCCTAAAACCGTGCATTCAAAGTCACATTATACAGACAGTGCAGGTTGTGTTTACATATTTAGAAATATGTATGACTAGGCAAATACATATATGTATGTAACAACAACGAAAAAAGAGACGACACATTTGAATAAGCACAAGGAGGGGAATATGGGGAGCTTGGAGGTGGGAAAAAAAGAGGGGACATTATGTAATTATATTATAACCGCAAAAAATAATTTAAAAACATATCTTTTATTACTTTTTTTTTTGGTTTTTCGAGACTGGGTTTCTCTGTAGCTTTGGTGCCTGTCCTGAAACTAGCTCTTGTAGACCAGGCTGGCCTCGAACTCACAGAGATCCGCCTGCCTCTGCCTCCCGAGTGCTGGGATTAAAGGCGTGCGCCACCACCGCCCGGCATCTTTTATTACTTTTTACTTATTTATTTTTTTGTTACTTTTACTACATTTTAGTGCAGATTTTCAGCACAATATCAGACTTAAGTTTGCAGTGTTATTCTTGGTTCGTTATAGAAGGAATGTAAGAATGCACGGGCTGGGGCGTGGCTCCGTTGTGGAGTGCTTGCCGGGCATGCAAGATGCCCTAGGCTCAGTCCCCAGCGTGGCATAAATGGAGAGTAGTGATAATGCATGCTTGGGGAGGTGGTGCTAGCAAGATCAGGGGTTCAGGGGAATTCTCAGACACATAGTGAGTTCAAGACCAGCCTGGGACACAGAAGATCCTGTCTCAAAAAACAAACAAACAAACAAACAAACAAACAAATAAATAAATAAATAAGACATGAACCTGGTGTGGTGGCACATGCCTGTAGTTCCTAACCACCCAACAGGCTGAGACAGGAATATTGCTTCTTCCCCAGGCCACCAGAAACTATGTGGAAAAGAATTACAATTAAGGATGTATCTCAGTGAAGGCGTGTTTGCGCAGCATGTCCACCTTGCCAGGTCTGAACCCTGCAGAGAGAGGAGGTGTGAGAGGCAGGGCAGGGGAAGATATGAATAAATTGGTCTTAAAAATAATAAACATAGAAAATCCATATTTTGCTAACCCTGGGGATTTCAAAGAATCTGTTCTCGAGATTGCAGATTACTCTTGCCTACTAGAAGATAGTTCAAACCTGGTAAAGAGGCAGGATTCATCGGGTTTGACATTGACTGTGAGGGGGAATTCGGAATAATGATTACATCTTTTTAAATATGTTCCCCTGAGCCAGTACAGACCCCCTCACTCTCTGGGGACCTTCAGGTGAGTCCTTAGCATCACTTACACAGTAGAGGCAGGAATGCCGGAAATGCCTGGTTGCTCACAGTGGACCCTGTGGATTTGCAATGTTCTAGCCTTCACACTTCAGGTGGGACACACTCCTTCCGTCCCCACCCGCTGCATTTAGAGCTTCTCACCCCCTCCACCCTGCAGCCCCCTTATTGCCCTCCAGGGAAGAGATCTTCAGAGTTTAGGGCGGATCCCCCATCCCAGTCCCTTCTAAACTTAGCTTTCTACTGGTGGGCAGGGCCTGGATGGGCGGGGCTGGGCAGGGGCGGGGCGGGGCGAGGCAAAGCTGGATTTGATTCCTAGCCGACCCTCATTTTAGCTTTTCTGAGCCTCAACGTGGTCGTCTGTAAAATAACGACTG